CCTCCCTCCCTTCTTTCCTTCCTTCATTTTTTTCCCTTGGGCATTAGGTTCTCTGGGGCTGAGCGCTAGGTGCACAGCTATAAAGCATCATGAACTTATTTCTTAGATGGACTTAATTCACAGAAAAATTTTAACCTCTGTTTGACATTGTAAAATGGATTCAATAAACTCTCAGGAAGGATGTGAAATAAACTGGTAAATCTGTATGCATTATTTATTTGAATGTATTGATCTGCCACCACTTTCATGTTGCAGTATGGTTTCCAGAGTACTTTCATGGACACCTGGAAAGGTGGCTTCACTATTTACAGATGACATTACCAGGATACCAAGATTAATTAAGTGCTCTAAGACCAGACAGCTCTAGTGGCAAAGAGGGACAAGAACTGTGATCTTATGTCCAAGTTACAAGCTTATCTCTCTGGGGATAGCTTGTTTTATTCTCTGTTCACTCACATAATACAAAAGTATGTAAAGATACCCACCCACTGGCAGCTGGAAGCATCAGGTATTAGTCTCACGAAAGAGAAAGAAGTGGGAGATGGAGACGCTATTGGAATAACTAACAGACCTTGTCTGCATGTGATTGTTCCCAAGAACAAGATAAGGCAAGCAGAAGTCCTTCTTGTAGGCAGGCACAGTCTCAGATCCTGGGAATGTAAGTCTTCAGTCTTTCTGGGTGTGGTCACAGGTGGATTGTTGACAAGAATAGGGTCTGATTCTAGAGCCAGGCAAGGTTGGACTCCTAAGATCACTGTACTTGCAGCCTGCTTCCCACTGGGAGTTTGTGGTCTCTACCATACTGTACCCAACCTGGGGACATGGTGAGCTGAGCTTCACATAGTGCAGGCCAGTGTCTTGCATACAGTAGTACTTAGAGCACATCTCATGAGCTGGCTACATAGTCCTGAAGCAACCAGGTAACTGACTTCCCCCACACTGCCCCTGGGGAAACCAGGCACAGCCACACTGCAGAGTATCAGACAAACCCCTCTTAGGGAATATCCAAGAGTAAAAAAACAAAAACAAACAAACAAATGAACGAACAAAAAAACCAAGAAAGCTGGCAGAGGGTAGAGGTCTTCTTTGGTACCACTTAGAATGAGGCTGATGAGATAAAGTGAAGCTGGCCTACTTAGAGGATGTTGTCTCAGAGAGTTGGTCCCAGTCTTAGTCACTGCTCTATTGCTGTGAACAGACACCATAGGACTTGCTTACAGTTTCAGAAGCTTAGTCCATTATTATCATGGCATAGAGCATGGCAGCAAGCAGGCATGGTGCTGGAGAAGTAGCTGAAAGCTACATCTTAATCCAAAAGCAGAGATGGGGGGGGTGAGGGTAAATGAGGGGAAGAGAGGGAGAGAGTGAAGAAGGAAAGGAAAGAGGGAGACTGGGAGACAGGGAGACAGGGAAAGAGACTGTGCCTGGCTTGGGCTTTTGAAATCTTCAAGTCTACCCCCAATGACACACTTTCTCCAACAAGGCCACATCTATTCCAACAGGCCATATCTTGCAGTCCCTCTGTAATACTATCATGTCCTATATGAGCCGATGGGGGCCATTCTTATTCAAACTATCATAGTCCCCTAACTGGGTCTGGCCTCTTTCCTCACAGGGGCCAGAAGTCAAAGTCACATCCTCTCAGGTCAGTAGCCTGAAGTGCTCCCTGGGTGCATAGCGCAAATAGACCCATGTCCTCTGTCCTGAGTGTGAGTACCTTCTGTTTCTTCCAACAGAAAGAACTAAGGGGGTGTGAGAGTTTTTCACTGTGTTTCATAGACTAGCAGTAGAACCCACCTTGTAAAAGCTGGGATGTGGTGCTGAGGGTAGAGAACAGAGAAAGGAGGTGGTGGTGCCAGCCCTGCCTTTTCAGCCCATGGATCAGCTCAGCAGAAGAGCGTGTATTAGGAACAGGAGCTTCAGAGCTGAAAGATACCTACCAAGGCTTTGCAATCATCATAGGAAGGGATATGCATGGTTTGAATATTTGATTTCCCAATCTTAACTCCCTGTCCCCATTGCCAAAGTGAATGTTCTGTTCCAAAGTACAGGTCACTTTGCAGGGGATAGAGAGATGTGTAGATAACCACAACCCACAGAGTCTGCTACAAACTCACAGTCAAATGTCAGAGGCCACCAGGAGGGCTAGGAGTTGGGACCTATCATTGAAGTCCTGATCTGAATGAAGGATTCCAGAAGGGGAATGAAGTTTGGGAAAGAGTTGGAGGGTAGGAATGATGTTGGCAAATGAGATTCTTGGCTCTCCTTCTAGAAAGCACAGCACAATTGTGTATAGGCAGGAAAGTTAAGGAGTGATGGGGGTTTGAACTGTACATGTAAGCAGGGCTGGTAATACGATCCAGGTCTAAGGTCAGAGTGGCATCCTATAGTGCTTCACTCAAGTGTGGGGCTAGTAACACAAGAGACTACAAAGATCCTAAAACCTAACTTAGCCTGGCTCTTTATGAAAACAGCTGTCATGGGTATCAATCACCATAGTTACCATTATCACTTTATAATCCTCACCATCACCATCATTACTGTCTTGGTCAATGTTCTATCACTGTAAAGAGACATATGACCACAAAACCCTTATAAAGGAAAGCATTTAATTGGCTTACAGTCCTGAGGTTTACAGTCCATTATCATCATGGCTTGTAGCATGGTGGCACACTGGCAGACACGGTGCAGGAGAGTAGCTGAGAGTTCTACCTTTGGATCCACAGGCCACAGGTATAGAGAGAAACCCTGGGCCTGACCTGAGCATTTGAAACTTCAAAGCCCATGCTGATTGACACACTTCCTTCAATATACTACACCTACTCCAATAAGGTCACATCTCCTAATCCCTGTGAAATAGTGCCACTCCCCAAGGACCAATACTTCAAATAAATGAACCCATGGGGGCTATTCTTATCCAAAACACCACAATTACTATCACCATGATCACCCTTATCATGATTACAACCACCACATCACAATCATGGTCATCCTCACACTAATTACTATCACCATCACAATCACTGTTACACTATCATGATGACATCACAATCACCATCCAATCATTACCGTCACTATTACCATTAGCACCATTATTGCCACTATCATCGCCATCACCTCCACAATCACAGTCATTACCGTTACCACAGTCATCATAATGATCACAGTCAAAGCCATTACTATCATGACCATCAACATCATCATAGTCATTACCATTGTTATCATTATTACTGCCACTACCATTACCATCACCATCAACATTATTGACAACTACCAACCATCATCATCATCATTACCAACATCTGCCACCCATCCTGCCCTTGGTCGTAACAGTAAGACTAGGGCCTCCAGAGCATACACTCACATCTCACCTGGGCTTCCCTCTGTTCCGTGTTACATTTGACTATGCAAACTATGTATACCACAAGAACCTGGCAGGTTTGAAAAGAAAAAAGAATTGGACATCTCATTTCACCTAAGTAGCCAGCTTCAATGGCTTGTACCAGCTACCTCATCCCTGGGCAGCCAGGAAGTGAAAGGGAAATCAGGGCTGTGGCTTCAGAGGTGGAAGCCCTGGCACAGGCCCAGGACACATGGACAGCAGCAACTGTAGAGCCACAAAGACATCCCAAGGCACACCCAGACTTGGCCTGAGTTTGTGTTCTTTGGGCACTGGCCACCATCAACGAAGGGGGACCAATGTTGACAAAGGGAAGTGGTTTGTTCTTGAGAAAGCTGAGTCAGCCCTTGAGCTCTTGTTTTAAACAAAAGCACTGAACTGCCCAGACAGGAAGGCCATAGAACACACACAAGTTCGGAGTTTAGTGTGGTGTCAGTGTACCTTCCCAGGGGCCAGGAAAGTATCCGCTCCCAGAATTCCTTTCTCAGTCAATTTGCCAAGAAGTAGAAATGGAAGAGAGAATCTTTGGGTAGGTTCCTACTTCACACCCATTCTTTTTGTTTAATCATGATGGCAGTGAGGGTGGTTGACACTCAAAACTTTCTTAGTCCCACTGTCTACTGGGAAAAACACGGTGACAGTATTCACGGAGTAGGGTTGGGGATTCTATGGGGAAACACATGAAGAAGGACCTGGATAGATTTACAACCTTACACTCAGCAAACGTTGAACAAAGCTTCCTGGTAAAGCCTTACCCTTCTGATTCTACATTTCTAAACGGAAGCCACATGCTGGAAGTTCTGATCTATTTAGGCAGCTTGGTTCGAATCTACTGTCATGACAATGAGGTGCACAAGAACAGGCCTGGGGTCTGCACAGTAAAGCCAGGTTTAAGTAAAGATGGACCAGGACTAGGCTTAGGTGAAATATGAACTTATGTGAAGAATCTTGTACTTAACTCTAAGTATATGGACCATTGTGTGCAAGTTTTAATGAAAACTGTGACTAAACCTAATATTCATTTTTTACAAAGACTTGGCGTGAAATGACAACAGAGACACAGCAAGGGGTGGCCTGCAAAAGTCAGGTAGGAGGGGACAGGGATGACAGGAGAGAGCAGGGAGACATCAATTTTGTGAAGCTGTACCAGGAGGGCTCTGTGCCTAAGAGATGCTGAACTTCATTCTGAGCGATGGTTGGGAGTAGTGTGAGGAAGAGGCCACCAAGAGATGAGGCAGTGTGCTGGGTTTGGGGGTTTCTGGGCCCTCAGATGGAGAGGTGAAGAGCTACCTGGAAGAAGGCAGGCATGAAGCTAGAAGACAAGTGAGCTGGAGTGATCCAGCGGTTGAGGTTATGAAGACGAAGTTATATGGTTGATGTCAGGCCCTCTCATCATTACTCCAGAAGCCAACTGAACAGGGCCTAGGAAGTGGAAGGGCAGCCAGAAGTGGGAGGAACTGGAAGGAGTGACATTGGAAGAGCAGAACCGAGATCAGGGAGGTAGGGAGCTCCATAAAGCTGCTCAGGTAGGTTTGAAACTAGAGGGCCAGGTCTCTGCAGACGGGGAGGCCTTCCACTTGCTGGGCCTGAGATACTTGCAAACAAGTGCTATGATAAGCCCATATTCCAAAGGATGGCAGCATATTCCTCTCTTGAAAAGTGACCCACAAGTCTCTTTTCTTATGTTCATTTTCTCCTTTTCCAGCAGTACAGCATAGTCTGGTGGGAAGAAATCTCCCCTTCTCCCAGGCCAGCTGAGGAGTCGACAGGCTTCATGCTTAACTAGTTCTAACTCACCAAAGTGTGACACTCTGGCCTTTCCTTCAGTGAGCCTCTTCTGCCCCCTGCATACCTGGGCTTCCCAAATGGCTCTTCAAAGTATCGTTCTGCTTATGTTATTAAAAGGAATTGCTACTTACCTTCATGGATCCTGGGAGAGAACTGAGGTCCTATAGCATGACACAGAAGGCCTGATCTAGCTGGTCTCACTGCCTGTCACTACCTCCTTGTCAGCCCTAGGAGCTGACGAGTATCCTCTTGGCAGGCCACATTAGTGTGTCTGGCACAGCCCCTTCCCCCTGGCATGGTCTCATTTCTTTTGTATTCTCCCTTTACAACTCATGTCAGCTGATCTCTCCTCTGGGAGCTGCCTCTTCTCCCAAGTCACCCTCTCTAGCTTTGGTGTTTCAGGAGACTCCTCAGAGCCTGCCCTCTACTCCTGCACATAGCAATGAATTCCTCATGTACTTTATACCCTTATGCTTGGAAGCTTGTCCAGAATAGCTGGCTGACATTGTAGTAGAGCTTGGTGGCTCACAGTAGGGCTTCATCCCTCTAGTCCTCCCTCCCCTCGGGCACCTCACTAGGCAGCGACAGCAGCAGCCATGAAAAATACCTGCTGGAAGCTCTCCCGTAGGTGGCTCTGATCCTCAGGGTGGCAGAATTCCAGAATATCCTTTCCCAGAAGGTCCTATAGGGGACAGACAGCTTTAATAACCCCAATGCCCACTCTCTATCTCTTACCCCTACCCTGTAGACAAAGGTGTTGTTTATACCCTCCCCTTGAACCCACCTCCTCTTGCCTGCCCACCACAATCTTAAACATAAAACAGTCTTCCTCCTCCTGTGGGCTGAAGAGTTGGCTTCCTTGCATCCATTCTAAATTCCCCTGGCTCAGTCCTCACTTACTTCTAATTCTGCTTGGGCGCTTGATCAGCAGCTTTACAACACAACTTTATTTCTGTTTGCCTTGGAGAGGCAAACTGCAATCAACATATTTTTAAAAACATCCAAAGAAAGCTCAAGGACAGACATGCTGCCTACGAAAACTAAAACTGTTTAAGTATGGAAACCAGTGGCTGAATGAGGCTATAATAACTGTGCTTACATCAAGTCTGTTCATTATTGACCTTCACTTGTCTATGTGCTATTTGAAAGACCCAGCCTTCATCTAAAACTTGTGTGGTTCACCGTGAATAGGGGCAGAATACAAAAAAACCATCAAAGAGTAATTTCGAGCATGCTCTAGGGAAGTGTCTTCAACAACAAAGGATGTGAGCTATCTCAGTGATGAGAACCCGAAGGCGCACATGATGCTTGAAGTGAGCCGACTCAGCAGCACAGGGCAGCTCCTATGTCTCAGGAGTGCCAGACACTCAGGGGAGCTGCTGGAGGATGCATAAGTCTGTCCAGAAATGCACTGCTGTCAGGGGTCATTGGCTTTCACTTTATTCTATCTGAGAGGTCACAGTTTGCATGAATCTAGTGACAGAATTATAGAAAGGCTTTCATAGTTTTGCTTTGGACTGTCCCTAGTTCTAAAATTTACACACAGGGCTGATTCCAGCACAGATAAAAGTTAAGTAAATAAAATAAAAATACACTTGCAATTAAAATACCTCATGTTGACATATCCCAAAGCTTCCTAAAGTCTTCTCTTTAGAACAAAGAGCCATGTATTTCTTTCTTTTTTAATGATTTTTTTTTATTTTAAGGAACTATAGAAAAGGTAAAAGGATATACATAAAATAAACACCTGCATATCCATTGCATTGATTCAATTATCGTTGTGTTATTAATATTTTATTTTAAAAATATTTTCTTTATAGATGTGTGCATACAAATGCAGACGGGAGATTCTCTCTCTCTCTCTCTCTCTCTCTCTCTCTCTCTCTCTCTCTCTCTTTCTCCCTCTCTCTCTCTGTTATCCCTTAACAATAAGTTGTAGATCCCATAACACTTTTCCATGAAGTTTTCAGCATTAATATAATAAATTTCTCATCATATTGCAAAACCAAAACACGATCATACCTAAGAAACCAATACTCATTTGATAACATCTCCATACTCCTCACACTTGTCCCCTAGGTGTCTCCTCTAGGCAGAGATCTTCAGGCTCAGGACATGGATCATGCTACTGTGCTCCACCTGGCTTCACCTGGGTGGCTCATGCCTTTCTGTGTTTCTCATGCCACTGCCTTTTCAGAAAGGATCCAGAGAAAAGATCTGAAAATATGCCCTAAGTAAAAAGATTTCCCCAAAGGACTAGGCAAACACCCCTCAGGAATCTTGAAAGTTGTCAGACATACGGAAGCTTTGTAATGAAAATAAACCGATCTTAACTCCTATCCTTTGTGATGATGGTTTTGTCTTACAACGAACAGTTTGGCTTGTGAAGGGTGTCAGCCTGGTTAAACAGGAAATCTGGGCTCCTATGTCATTTCTCTATGATGTCATTGTGCTGAACCTTTAACAAGTAAGATAAATACCTTTTGAGTGAAGTTAAATCTTTCACCAGTATCAGGAGCTCAGGGCTAGCCACTGACCTGGGGCTGGTAGCCAATCACACTGATGCATCTTGGGTCCACAAATGTGATGATCCCATCAGAGTTATGCCGTGACAGGAACTCTGTGGGCACTGACATGCCACTCATGTCCATGCACACAGGAGAGCTGGTCACCTGGAACAGAGGGTTGATTACGATGCGGATGAGGACATGGTAAGAATCCACATAGCTTGAACTCCACACATCCTGCTGTGTCACTGGAAAGACGATCCTGAGGAATTGAATTAATGCATGGCCGCTTCCTTTACATTTATTAGGCAGTGGGAATAATGAATATTCACAACAGGCTATAATGCCCTAGGACACTTGTGATGTTAAGAGATATTGCACACTGTGCTGGCAAATGATTGGGGCTCAGCAAATGTTATCTTCTTCCTCTCTCATCTTTCCCTCTGTAATTGGTGCAGAGACTAGGAAAGTATGTATTTCTGGACTGAATTCACCCAGCTACTCTTGTTTTACACACCAGAGAAGAGGATCTAGTGTTTGTTTTATGTGAATGAAATCGCTTATTTGTTTATTTGAAAATAGCCAGACTTAGAAGATCAAGGATGTGAAACACGAACCTTCTGGACTGTCAACTCTGCCTGCCTTCCTCAGTTTGGAAAACACCCTAAATGTCAAAGGAAGAATGAATGAGCCAAGTGACTGAGTGGCTACTATGTATCAGATATCAGATAAAGTAAAACATTGAAAACTTTATTTATTTACTTAATATGCATAAGTGTTTTTGCTTGCTTGTATGTCTGCACCACCTATGTGCTTGGTGCCTGAGAGGGCCAGAAGACATCAATTTTCCCTGGGATTGGAGTTGCAGACAGTTGTGAGTTTCCATGTGGGTACTGAGAATTGAACCTGGATTCCAAGCTAACTCTCCATCTAACTCTCCAGCCAAGCTAACTCTCCAGCCTCAAGTAAATTAAATTTTAACAAGACAGGGTCCCTACTTCAGAGGCTTCACAAGCGTACCCTCAGCTAACTACGGCAAACATTGTGCCGTTGAGGTGAGAACTCTCTGCTATGAGAGAACACAGTGGGAAGTAAGAGTTAGTATTACCTAAGGGGATTGGCAGTCATTTAGCTAGATCTCAAAGGACGAGAAGGTAGGAAGTGCACAGAAAGAATTTTGAAAGCAGAAGGGTAACTAAGAAACACAAGGTAGAAGAAACAGCTTGAAAATCCCCACAGAGGTGGGGAACCATGAGGTAACTTCATGAAACCGGAAAGATGTGGTTTGGTAAAAGGATGTGGGAAGATGGGGAGAAGGGAAGGAGAGGAGAATGGAATGAGCTTGAACTTTGTCCCACAAGGCCCTCGAGGGACTTTAAAAGCGGTCAGCAAGGATGTGAGTTCTGGAGGAACTCATCTGTAGTGACTGGTGTAGGTGGGCGAGAGGTCTGTTAACCCTCAGCTAGAAAGGTCTCTGTGGTGTATCCCTAGTGGTACACCTTTTTAAAATTCAGGTTTTGACCCAGAGTGAGACACATAACCCTACAAATACTGAGTACACAGGAGTTCCAAATGAAGAGGCACCCAAACAGTCTCTTGTCCTGTGTAGTAAATGAGCCCTGACTGAAGATGAAAAAGACAGGCTTTTTGAGCTTGCCTTTCATCCCAGCACTCTGGAGGCAGAGCCAAGTGGATCTCTTAAGGTCGAGCCCAGCCTGGTCGGCAGAGTGAGTTCTAGGACAGGGAGGGCTACACAGGGAAACCCTGTCTTGAAAAACCAAAAAATAAACAAACAAAAAAAGACAAGCTTTCTGCTCACCTGGAGCCTCCCAATTGCCACAAGGCAATATTTACTGCCTTGGCCGACATCAGCGTCTTCTTCGGGTATGGTCATTCCTGAAATGAGACATGAAGCATCATGAACATGCCCAATATTACTGGCTAAGCGGGGGGGGGGGGGGGACATCCACGATTTCATTTATGCAACTGAAAATGCAGATCCACTGTTGCCAATCAGAGCTGGGAAGTTAGCCAGTGACTCAGCAGCCCCACACTGTTGCCTGTTCCTCTCTGTCTGACAGTGTCTGATGAGTTCATGATCCATCACCATCTGCATTTGTGGATGGATGACACAGGCAGAGGAGGAGGATGAGATACAAGCCATTCATCTCTATATTTGCACAGCTTCACCGAAACACCAATAAGAAGCCTAAATGGCTCCTGTTGATCATGCTAACAATTCACATTTTGTTGACAAGGGGTCAAAGGCCATCAGAGGTGGTGCACAACTTGATAGTTTTTTTTTCCCCTTTCTTGTTTGTTTGTTTGTTTGAGGCAAGAACTCACTATGCAGCCTTGGCTGTCCTGGAACTTGCTATGTAAAGCAGGGTGGTCTTAACATTACAGAGATCTTTCTGTCCCTGCTTCCTTAGTGTTGAGATTAAAGTCATGCGCCACTGTGTCTATTGGTGCACAAGTGTAATCCTATCACTGAAAAGGCAAAATGAGCAGATCCCCTGGGGCTTGCTAACTAACTAGCCGACTTAGATTACCTGCTGAGTTCTAAGCCACTGAGAGACCCTGTCACAAACACACAGAGAAGGTGAATTACAACACCTGAGATGGCCCTTTGACCTGAACAAACATGTACTTAAATACATGCACACGAACCTGTCCCTGTATATACACAAACATATATGTGCACAGATACACACATCTGCGAAAACTTCCAGACTTCTTCACGGAGCTAGCTCTTCCCCAGTTTCTTTTTAGAACCGCACAAGTACTCAGTTGTGCTGATACGCCATGTTTATCCAACCATCCCTCAGATGTGAATGGTGAGGAGTTTTCTGTACTGTGCAGTTAGAAGCAATGTACACTCTAGCATATGTGTATTTCTTTTATTTATCACTGGCACTGTACCTGTTGGATGGCAGTTCTCTAGAAGTGGTTAGAAGCAATAGAAGTGGTACTGGGTCAAATATAGATAGACTTCTGTTTTGTTAAATTCTCTCCAGAAGGGCTGTATCAGTTTGCATTCCAGTCACCGATGTCTGAAGCCTGTTTCTCTATGTTCTTGGCTAACAGAATGTGCTGTCAGTTGTCAGTTTGACAGGTGAGAATAGATGTCTTAATTTGCATGTCAGTAATTATAGTTATGTTTGAGCATTGCTTTCTGTTTACAACTGATTTACATTCCGAGTTTTAATGAATCATCCGTTCATGTTCTTCCCCATTGTTCTGTTGGGATTCTGGTTGCCTATCTCCCAATGCTGGTTTTGAGACAGGTTTCCTATAGCCAAAGATGGCCTCAAACTTGGTAAATACCCGAGGAAGACCTTGAACTTCTTATCCCTCTGTCTCCACCTCCCAAGAAATAGGATTATAGCTGAGTACTATCATGACAAGTCTCACTTTTAAAGCGTTGTCTCTGCAGTGAGGAGGGATCCTGTGAATATGTTCTCCCACATGGTTCTTTGTCTTCTAACTTGGGTTACAAGGCTAAAGTCTGAGCCACAGTTAGAAAGCCATTTCTTAGGTAGAGATTAAAAAAAGACTCCATGTTTGCCTCTAGTGTTTTCCTAGCCTCAATTTTTACACTTAGATGTCTGAGACACTCCATTTCTCTTGTGTAGCATATGAGATACATATTGATTATGTTTGTTTTCAAGTATGTGACTCTTCAGTTATCCCTCTGATATTTGTTTAAAGAACAATGACTTAAGATACCACTTTCATCTTGCAATAAATCCCAATACATGCTTGGGTCTAATTATGGACTTCTTCTATTCCACTACTAATCTCAGAGGCACTACTGTGTGCTCTAATGTATGGTAAGGTTTCCCTGTAGGGTTTTCTTGGCTACTTTCAAATGTGTTTTTCTACATGAAACTTAGTATCAACTTGCCTAACTTTATAAAACAGTTTGATGACATTATTAATAGTTTTGATTAACATGATAATTTGCCTTCAAGAGAAAGATGTCTTCATAATGTTGATTCAACACTCCAAGCACAGGCAAATATTTTAATCATGTATTTTTATCCTCTTCTATGTTTTTTCAGAAGTGTTCAAAATGTTCCTCGTAAATCCTTGCACTTTTATGACTTAAATTTATTCCCTCGTCCATGTTGGGATAACATCTGGTGTTGTCATTGTGCCTGTCTTGTTTAGGCCACCATATAGTTAAGATTTCATGGGTGTGAAAGAAAAACAAAGGAGTTTCCACTAGCTGAGACTGCCAGGCACTTTTCCCCACTTTCTGAGAAGATTCAAACTTCGGAACAAGCTTACTACTATCCTTCTGGATATTACGTAATTCTAGAAAGTGATGTAAGTCTGAGATGCTCCCAGCAGAAGAGAAGGAAGTGAGGATGTGGTTCTGGATGACGACTGTTGTTAATCATCCATGGCTAGGACAGGCATCTCTGAGTGCTATCCTTACATATGTGGACTTAATAAATAAGTATTCATTGAAAAAAAAAGATTTCATGGATGAAACTCCTAGTCATAGACGGAAGACTCTATCTCATAGGAGACATCATGGTTTTTACAATCTTTCTACCCACTTTTCTGCAATGTTCCCTGAACCTTGGGTATAGGGGTTGTGTGGTAGGTGTAGCAATTGGGGATGATCAGCCCATGGTCAATTGTTTTCTGCATTTTGACCAGCTGTGGGTTTCTGTGATGGTCTCTGCCTGCTGCAAAAACAAAACAAAACAAAACTTCTTTGATAAGAGGTGAGAGATACACTCATCTACAGATATAAAGATAGACATGTAGAATGAAGTTGAGATTTATACTGCTTTAGGAACATGGCAGTAGTAGATCTTCCTTTAGGGTCCATGACCTCATTAGGATTGGCTAGGGTTACAGTACCAGGCATAAATCTCCTCCTATGGAATGGGTCTTATGTCTAATTAAAGTGGCTGTTGGTTACTCTCAAAATATAAGTGTCACTATTGCACCCCTGGTTCTATATTTTTGTGCTGGTCATTGCTATAGTTTGTAGGACCTTGAGTTACTCTTCAGAGGAGGTTTTCAGAATTGTTCCAGTTTGATTCCTCCATGTCCTGTGTCTACAGCAACAGGATCTTACCTTCACATCCTGGGAGGCAAACAAGGGTAATCGCTTATATTGTTTTGTGAGTCTCTTGGATTCCTCTGACCAAGAACTCAAAGAGTTTCTATCCTTGACACTTATGATTAATCTATATTTCTTGGAGGAGGCATTATTACCCCAAGTTATCATGTTCTAAGCTCTGTGCTGATGGTGTGTGTGTGTGTTCATAATACAGTCATGCCTCTTTGGAGAACCCAAAGAAGACAGACAAATAGATGTAAAAATTGTTATAATGCTAAGTGCAAAGTGACCAGGTTCAGGCAAACCCAGTGCCTGGGAAAAGGTAGTTGCTGATAGAATAGGGCAGGGCTTCTTGGGTTCATCAGAATCAGGGTATATAATGGTGAACACAGCAGAGACTGATGTAAGGATTCCTATGACTGCAAGTGGCACAGATCCAGGGGGAAGGAGGAACACTATAATACAGGGAGGGTCTGGTGTCAATACACTTCATCTTCTAAGCCAGCAATTGAAGACTTCATGCACCCCTGTTGTGGAAGACTTCTCCTGTAACAATTAGTCTATATCCACTGGGAATGACAGCCCAGTAGTCTCAGCTAAGAACAGATCTGTTTACTGGCCCAGCAGGCATGCGATGGGCCCTCACTGGTGCCAGACCTTTTAGTCTTCAGCCAACTGACACTGCTTTTCTTTTATACACAATATACTGGTTTACCTTTATAGACCATACATGATGAAATGATAGTTTGTGATTAGATTAGGTCAGCAGAAAAGTGATACATGCAAAAAGAAATGAAGGATCAGCACCAGGTAACTCTTATGGAGCAAAAACAGAACAGCTGAAAAAGAAAGAAAGAAACAAATCAACAGCACAGCATCCCCTATACCAGGCCATTAAAACTCCTTAATACTTGGAGAAGCCAAAGGACATCTGAGTGTCAAGCTCTGCATGCTCCAAATAGGAGAGGCATAAGTGCAGTTTTGCACTTAAACAGACCAGACAATCTGTGGGCTGTATCAAGGTCTCCTAGAAGAAAACAGGAAAGCGACAAATCAAATCATCCCGGAGAAAATGAGTCTAAGCCATGAATAAGCAATTCAGAGGGAAATAACTCACAATGTCATGTGCCCAGAAAGGACATAGAAATTCACTACTAAGGAACACTTGATTGGAAATGTCACAGCTCTTCTGAGTTCACTTCAAATAACAGACTGATCCAGGTGTAGGATGACGGAAAGTTCTACAGATATTAGGAAAGGACACTCTTATCCTCTTCTGCAGGATACTTTGGTGATAGCTCTGTGCATTTAAATTACCATCTTTGTACTACTTCTAGAACTAACCTTCAGAAACACCAGCACTCATGGACAGACGATCCCCTGCAGTGTGTAGACTTCACAAGCCCCATCAGACTCCCATACTAGACATGGGCATCATGCTCCTAGCTGGAGGATGAATGACTAGTGAAACATCATGTAGTCATATAAAAGAATGAAGCCGTATGAAGAACATGTTTTAAGAAGAGAAAAATAGTAGGAAGATGTGCACTTAGCTTTCAGAAAAAGGAGCAGGGCAAAAAGGGGTGTTGTTACTGTTTAATTTAAACCTTTAAACAAATTTACGATGAGCTTTTGAGCAAATTTTATCTTGTATGTTTTTCTGTTTCTTTCAAATTTTATTAGTGAACATTTTTTGTGCTTTCATAATTTCCTAAAACAGGACAAAATAATGTGGGTATGATCACGGCAAGAAGAATGTACATTTTGATTTTAAAAAGGTAAGCTCCTGGTGCTTGGCCTCGCACTCCGGGAA